TATATATATATATATATATATATATATATATACATATATATGTTCCGTAAACACCATTCAAATGTCGAATTTTAAAATAATTTCAAGCCAAATCTCAAAACCAACTTTGTGAACTTATGAAGCAGCTGATTTGAAGAAGTAATCGCTATATAAACTATATCTTTATCACCAAAAGCTTTGCAAATATCACTAGAAACTGGAGATTTATCACTGGTAACACAAGCAGTAGTAGCAAATGTTATAGCATCTGCCAATCCTTTTGCTTCGGTACTTCCCAGAACAGCAAACACGTGATGGATCTTCGAATCAGGTAAATTGTTTGTATTTTTCCCCCAACTAAAATTTTATAAAATTTAAGAGAGAAATTTCCATACTTTTATCTAACATCAACATAATTCACTGGCAGTATGTATCACTGTGATATACTTATTAAATGACACGGCTAAATGATTAAACGATTAGATCACGGGTAATTTCCCAATGAATATTTTTTGATGTTACCCACAAACCATTGCTTGATGTTACTAATTTATGCAATTTGTGGTAACAAACCTTTTTATTTCACTAAGCTGCAGTGTGCACTACAAGAAAATAAAAAAATTTTTCAAATGCTATGGAACAAACAACTGCACAGCAGTCACAACAAAAGAGATGAATCTATGCGAGTCATGTCACTAGACGTGATTAAACTGAAGGTATAGATATAATGGACTAAATCATGCAAAGTTTTCATGATTTTTATCTCCAGATAAAAATAATATTTATATTGAAAAATCATATTTATATTGAAAAATTACCTTTCATTTTTTTGCAAAAAATTTGACAGCAAATGAGCCCATGGATTAATATCGATAGAAAAAAGATTTGCTCCACAAAGAACAAAATATTGACCAGATTGCACAGGATCTGCAATTTGAGAAAATGAATATGAACTTTTTCTAGATTAGATACCATGAACCCTAAAAATGTTTTTCATTATAAATCCTTAAAAGTATTTTTCCACAGATATTTCTCCTTATTTTGGCGTCTTATATAACCCTTATTTATCAGCACATTCTATCAAGGGCAAAAAAAATTCGAATTATGGCCAAAACTCATTTCACATTTCAATGAGCTTGTTTTTCGCCTCTTCCTTTGTTTCCTCAGTGATTGATAAGGACTATCAGTAGGACTGCGACGAGTAAAGTTAAGTTCGTGAATTGAAAAAACTTTAAATCAAGATGTCAAATCATTCGATCTTTTCAGTACGAACCATTCTGTAAACAATATGAAATATCAGCAAGCAGTTTGCAAGGTAATAAAATATTATCATAGGGAACAAGAATAAATTCCATGTGCACATCGAAAGTCTCCTGAAAGTAGAAGATGGCTGAATGTAAATCTCATGCCACAAATTCCAAAATATATAGTATTATTCCAAGAAACAACCGCGCTTTAACTTTTGAGCTTATAAATTTGAATAACACAAAACCTCTTCCAGTGTTAAGGCGAGAAAATGCATGATACATCCTTTAGCAGATATTAACGAGAAAACTGGTAACGACGTTTTTTCACAATATTGTATATAAAGCATATCGAAGGCACCATTGCAAGCAGGATCACCCGGTATTGTTCCAGTCAGTGCAAGAGGCCCCTGCATCTCAATAATTCTGAAAACTGAATTTTCTCAAATAATATCCCATAAGGACAAAACGAACATTCAAAAATAACTATCGTGAAACAAGAGTTTATTTTTAACACTCAAAAGAACCTACCTATTTTCCGAATAAACAACAATATAAATATCACCACAATCGTTATCAATAGCAAACAATGTTTTTAGGTTAATTTGTGCACCACTTTCATTATCCGCACGAATAAATGACGGCCCAAAATCGAATGAGGCTGAAAAAAGTTATCTTCCTTAACTCGAACAAAACCCACATTTTGAGTGTTTCGATTAAGACTCTGACAACTGACTAAGAAACCACTTTGACCATAAATGACATAAAGTAGTGCATGATCAAAAAAGATATGCAACTATTATCTCAACTATGGATGTTGCTTACAAATTTATTTGGTTTTCCATAAGCCAAATCCAAAAGTAGTATTAACGCCTTTTGATTAAAAAAAGTATAATTTGAGCACAACAAATTAACTTTATACTTCAGTGCACCATAATGTGCCCCTTCCACAAAGTAACGAAAGCAGTGGATAATAAATAAAGGGGTGACAACTAAAAACAGCAGACGTTCTGGCCACATAACAAAAGATTAAAATCATGCCGAATTTACGAAAGCTTTATGAACAATATTCAAACCGATATAATTATGCACGCCAAATGAGCGACCGCAACTTGACTCGCTCAGCCCAAGAAGTGACTTAAAATCGATCACAATTGTAGGCGTAGCACAGGTAATGTCAGTATCATAAATTCTAAAACTTTTCCAATTGATTTGAAACATTACTATACATTATGGTTTATTTTTACAGCACCCTTCGTTCTTTTACCAAGCACAGAGAAAAATATACAAAGTGAGCAAAGAAATGGAAGCAATAGAACAAACCTAACAACATTTCCACTGCAAAGAATAGCCAATCTGTTGTAAGCACGATGTCCAGATTCATGTCGTCTCTTCCAAAACCACCGTATTTTAAGAACATCAATTGCAGTACTTGGTGACCTAGTGTGAGAGCCAACAAATTGGCTCCTATAAAACGGAAGCAAGAAATAAGTAGATTTTCCTTTTATCAAATTTTGCAAAAATAGAGAAGCCAAATTCAAGTTAACTGATTAGAATTACTCACTCACTGCAGCACACTTCTTATGAGTACCTAACAAGACTTGTAACAACTTCGAAAAAAACAACAACTCCCATCAAACTTTTTGATTCAATCTCTTCAGTAAGCTCAAAAGACATGGTCCTCGATTCAGCTATTGCTAATATCGTCCTCCGATCTCAGCATAGTAACCCGTGTTACTCAAACAAAAACGTATGTTGATAAATTTCTTCCAAATCCCTTGACGCATCATTAATTTCTGACCTACCGTGAATCCAACCTGGCCAAAAAATCTAAGCTCCCAATTTCAATCAGTTCAAATCTCGGATTAAATTCTTTAACTTATTTCATTCGGAAAATTAAGATTAAAAAAAACCTTCAATCCATAGTCACATTTGAGTCTTTCTCTAATCATGAAAATAATTTTGTAAATAATGCAAATGAGTACTTGCAAAGATAGGTGGGTTGCAAATGGTCTAATAAAGGATTTCGTGTTACTGACTGTCGGCACCAACAATCATTGGGTATTTCGATTACAAACACCGAATGTGCACTCGATAATGCTACACGGCTACCATTTCGGTTGACAAACATTGCTCTAAATTTCTCATCCGACGGCAAAGGTGGATCAATAGAGAGTTTCTGCAAAATTGTGAAAAAATTCAACTAGGAATTTGAAATTCTTGTATCAAAAGTCCGCGTTCTTTTTCATTTGCATCGAGATGTTTTTTTTCTTGCCAGATTTCATTAATGTCAAGCCAATAGTATGGCATGAACGAAATGACATACAGAACTATAAAAGGAACAAAACAACAGCCTGATTTGGGACCCTCCCTTACTTTTGCAAGATACTGTAATGGCCAACTAGTAATCCTGGGCAAATTGCGAAAATTGAAAATCCGACTTCATATATTCTACAAAACATACATTTACATGGTAACTTTTAATTTTTGCCTTTTAAAATGAAAATTAACGGGATTTCCTTACCTTCCCAAGCGTTTTAGCTCCGGCAAATCCAGAAACTAAGTTCTTGAATAAACTGCATAACGTTTTGGAGTTAATCTAAATTATCAACTTACAATTTGTCGGTTACAGTACGCTTTTCCATCAGTCCCCGAATATAAGCCAGCAATAAACCATAAAGTACTACCATCAAATATTATCAAACCATGACTAGCATAATTATCGATCAGGATAGTTTCCGAAGTCTTAGCAGCCAATAAGTCCAGTAAGATATCCATAAATTCGAAACCTCAATTTATATCGCATTATTATGACTTGTATTGGTTCAACTTCTTTTTCTACTATTTAGTTTGTTAAATACCCTATCACTGTAGAACATGAAAAAAGACATTCCAGGAAACTCGATGTACACCAGGATATACTGCAGTTTGAAGTCAAAGTTGTACTTGTGCATTCCTACTAAACCGGAAATACTATCGAAACTGCCAAGGGATCATTAGCCAAGAGATTCATTACCATATTAGTCTAAGAGTTTTATTCGATCAATAGAAATTTCATGATCATGTCTCACTACCTTTGTTACTATATCTTATTGACATAGCGCTAACTTATAGTTATCGTATCTTGATGTAGCACTAACTTATAGCTATCATATCACTGGTATAGTACTAAGTCACTGCTATTATATTTTATTAATATAAAAATAACTTATAGCTATCATATCTTACTGACATGGGACTTATTCACAGCTATCATATCTTATTGACATGGTACTTATTCACAGCTATCATATCTTATTGACATGGCACTTATTCACAGCTATC